GGTGGTGGGGGGGGGGGCTGGGGGGGTGTCGTGGCTGAATCGTTGGGGGGCGCGCAGCCTGCAGCACAGCCGTCCACGGGCGACTCTGGCTCCGATCCACCCTCAGCTCCCGGTGGATGAGTCGCTGTTCCCGTGACGCACCACAGTGTGGCTTAGTATCGGTGGCACCAATTGAGAGCTGATTGTTGGGTTACGGTCATGCTTGGTTGGCGGTTGCGGCTCCCCCAATCAGTGTGGTGCGCCACTTGGACGATGGCGTGGCTGAGGGGAGCCCACCCTGACAGCCCAGCAGCCCCCCATGCTCGCCCCTCCTTCCGTGCCCCCTCCCCGGTCAGCCAGGCGGTCGGCGTCCTGGCAAGGGGGGGAGAGAGCATCGTGTGCTTTGCGGCCTCGGAGATGGCCGTGTGGGGACCGATTAATCGGGCCGTCTCTCTCCCCAAAAGTCGGCTTTCGATTAGTCATGCCTAGGTCCGGCTGCAGGCTCCCGAGGGCCTGTGTACTTCTAGTTGGCAGAAGAGAGACTTGGAAACAAACAAAGAAAAGAAAATGAAAAGAAAACAAAATGAACATCGAATTAGGTTCACGGTCGAGCTGCATGACTCGTCTCACCTCTTACATAAGACACCTCACATTCATCTCTAAAGGTCTTCACTTCACTCTAAAGATGATTTGCTTCGTAGATGCACACTGATCCGAGAAGCAAAGCATCATTTGTTTCATCAACTAAGAGAGCGCTATGTGCGAGTGCCTTACTCTTCTTTACCTATGCAAAGCAAATGTTTGTGTGTAGTGCGAGCGACATTGTGGCACTCGGGACATACCCAAACCACGGGAAGCCACATCGGTAGCGATGAGGATTGGAGCTTTGCCACTGCGGAACTCTAAAACGCAAAGAAAAGAGGGGATTCAGAGGCCCCGGCATAAAACTGTATTGTGACTGTTGGTGTGTTTGTTGTACCCGTCAACACCCAGTCTCTCTCTGGCTGGCTCTTGTCACCATGAATGCACATTGCTGGCCACCTACGGGAAAAAAAAGTCAGGAAGACACATCGCTGATAGTTCCTCAGATTATAAAAGCGTTGCCCTCAACTCACCCATCACGTCTCATCCTGCGTGTGAGGTCATCACACCGCTTCTTGGTCTCAACAAAGATGATAGTCTTGTTCTCTTTCTCAGCCATAATCTCTTCCATCAACTGTATCAACCTGACATTTTTGTTTTTAAAGATGATTCGAAATAACATGCCAACAGGTCTGCAAATGTAACCAGGGACTTACTTGTTGTCCTTTTCGCTATCCATGCACACGTCAACTATCTGAAGGATGTTGTGGTTCGCGCTCAACTCCAGTGCGCCGACATTGATCTGCACGTAGTCTTTGAGGAAGTCTTCAGCCAGTTGACGCACCTCTTTTGGCCAGGTGGCGCTCCACATCAGCGTCTGTCTATCGGGCTGGAGATGCGCAAATAATCACGTCATAAATTGCTTTTAAAACGTCAATCATGAGGTAGCTTTCCCGTTTGTGGACTGAGTTCATTACTGGCGTTACCCTGATCTGGTCCACAATTTTTCGAATCTGAGGTTCAAATCCCATGTCCAGCATGCGGTCAGCTTCATCCAGAACTAAATATGTGCAACGCCGCAGGTTGGTCTTGCCTGCCTCAAGAAAGTCAATCAGACGACCTGGAGTGGCGATGCAAATTTCAACCCCTGTGAGGGCGACACGGAGAAATAAAAGACGGCAGGAAAAAGAAAGGTGCAAGTGAATCGAGAAATGTTCAAGCCCATAAATTCAGACATGACCCTTTCTCAGGGAAAAAAAAAATACATTCAATGAGATTACAGAATACATTTTCTTCACCAATTTTAAGTTAATACCTGTAGATAAAAATATTCAAGGGTCAATAGTGCATACCTCTCTCCAGATCTCGGATCTGGGGTCCTTTGGGAGCACCCCCATACACACAAGTGGTTTTAATGCGAGATGATTTCCCATAGTCGGCCGCCACCTGCTGGACCTGCTGTGCCAGTTCTCTTGTGGGGGCCAGAACCAAGCACTGGAGAGGATGGAGGGATAGAATGCCATAAGGCAGTGCTTGTTTCTCAAACCAGCCAAAGCGCACACTTTGCATTTAAAGAAAAATCTCACTGCACGGCACACAAAATTAATTAAAATTTGCCGTTGAACAATTTTCATGCCAATCACGGGCACTTGGGTAATTTCCTGTGAGACACCTGATGATTTGCCAATGGCTGGGAAATCACTGTTATGAAGACCCATTCCAATATGGTGTTATAAATGCGCAGCACATAACTCGAAGTAATGAATATACTTTGCTTCTCCTTACGTACAATGGGCCCATCTCCACGCTCCAGATAGGGCTGATGGTTGATGTGCACAATGGCTGGCAGCAGATACTGTGGACGGACAAAAGGGAACCGATTCTATCAAGCATGAAGAACAGTCTCAAACTTAATGACAGTGATGACTTGTGCAAATTTCACTTGTTGGGCATTCCTGCGCAATCTAATGTGATCCGATACAAGAGTTATCTTCAAATGTATGTTTTTAGGATGTGGTAGGAAGCCGTAGTAACTCCACACTTAAGCATTTTGGGTGCATCTGTGATACTGAAAGTTAAGGTTTTCCCTAATGTTGTAGCCAATAAGTATGTAAACATAACATAAACAAAGGAAAATACCAATGGACAGCGTGATTTCTGTAAACTAAAAGATGCCTCTTACCGACAGAGTCTTCCCTGAGCCAGTCTGTGCAATTCCCACCATGTCTCTCCCACTGAGGGCTAAAGGGAATCCTTGAGCCTGAATGGCTGTTGGCTCCTTGAAATTTTGCTGCGTCAAGACATCCATTACATATTCTAAATGGAAAAGAAATTAACCACATATTAGGTAAAAGAGAAATGCTTTGTTATGCCTATTTTGCTTTGTTATGTCAAGTTATCAAATGGGGAATTGTATAAAATACTTTGGTACATGCCAGACTGTACTTTTTCTTTACTTTTACTTTAAATGAATTGAATTTGTCTCGTACGAAAAGGAAAACAACCCCACCCCTTTTCTAACTTGAGTACCATAGGGGGTTTCTGCTTTTACATAAGTACATTTGCCACCTCGAGATCAGGTTTGCAGATGCTTACGAGGAAATTTTGCTTGATGGAATCCGGTGACCGGCTTTGGGCAGCCTGAACCCCGAATAGTTATTTCTTTCTTCCTTCTGTACTCCTCGATGTCATACTGTGGGGGATAATAAAACTGAGTGTGAGAATCCAAATGGTGGTGCTGTGGTTTAATCGGCTCAACCCTAAATTGTAGTTAAAATAATGAATTCAACGAAAACATACCTGATCCATGCGTTGTACTTCCGGATGCTCGTTGTAAAAGTTCTTCTCGAATTTGGGGAGTTCATCCAGATCCCATCTTTTCTTCCGCAAACGGTCGCCAGGATTGCCGAATTTTTTAATCGAAGATGAGCCGCCTCTGCTGGACCCGAAACGAGGGCTTCTGTAACACGATGACAACAAATAGAACTTTATTGATACATATTATTCTATAAAATCGAGATGGGTGTTTTTTTGTGGTGCTAGTCCCAAACGTGGAATGCGCACAAACAAGAGCTGCTGTTAGCTTTCAAGCTAAAATTGATTTTACTGAAAATTCTCACCCCCTGTCACGACCACGGTCTCGATCTCGGTCTCCGTAAGAACCTCTCATTTTAAAGACTCGGTTCCTTTGGGAGATAAAGAGGTTGTCGGGTATTTGTGAGATTTCGTTCGCTTTTCCCGAGTTACCCTTTTCAGGGTTTCCGAAAGAGCTTCAATGGGACGCGCCGACGAGTTCGAGCAAAAGATGCTCTACGTGTAACGCTGGTTGTGATGAACTGGGACGGCCTTACAAAGCCCTGGTTTAGGAAAACAAACGAAGTACTAAGTCGCGTATCTTTGGTGATACTGTATACGTTTGGACTGCTGTTAAATTGAAGATAACAGCTATGTTGTTAGCTTAGCAATTCGGCTCGGATCCGAGCATGTTGATTGGCTGGTTACTGACTGGACACGCCCCCAGAATAAGACGGACCCATTTGTTATTCTTCACGTAGCAGTGTTTTTGTACGCTCCACGTTTATTTGAAGACTTAAAACCATGGCATTCGAATTCAAGTATTTAAAAGAAACAAGGAAAAATGCAATCTACATTTTTTATTCAATTTTGTCACAAAATTGAGTCTTGATTACAGGACGAAACTTGTTTGTGCTTTATGGGGCTGTGTGACTATTGTTTTTCATCATGACTTAACAGGGTATTGTATAGCGGGTGGTGGTGGTATGGTCTCAAAAGAAGGAAACACTTCTGCTTTTGTCTAAACGTTTATTTCCCTTTCAACACTAACAAAACCCAACAGCATAAAAGTATATAATACCAACAATACACAGATAAAAATGTATACAACAGAAACATAACAGCAATGTATGAAAATTAAAATAGTAAAACATAGTACTATATGTAGCAATGCCATTAAAGTCATAATCATGAAATGTTTTACAGTGCTTAAACTGTTATTCACAACATTATTTTCTTTCTGGAATGTGTCCTCGTGTAATACATCCAATTCAATTATGGGATCTTAAAATCGTATTAAGAGGACTAAGATTCAATGAAAGGCTGGATAAATGATGGATTAATAATTGCAGACATGAGGTTGTCGGAAACGCAGCTGGAATAGTTGTCACAGCCAGAAAATTCCATTTGCGTCCATTGATCATGGCCTCCACATTAGTTTTGAATTCACTTTAGCTCTCGTCACTTAACCCACATTCGACACACTGTTTTGCATTTGCCAAAAACAGGCAACTGTTACTTTGAGGCAACATTGGGGGTTTGCCGCAGTGCTCCACCATTAAACATTCACAATCACAACCACAAACGTCTACTGCCTGCCCCAAAAACACAAATTCAACAGCACCTGATGAACAAAAGTCTACCCAAACACAGTGCTTCTTGAAATAATAACATTAATATGGGTTCGTTTTCGGTTGCCTCCTGGGATTGACTGACATGAGGCTCTTCCATTTCCCGTTTTTTTGCACAGTATCACTGCATCATAAAAGCAACAATTCCATTTTAAGAAACAAATGCAGTCATGTTTATCCTCTTTCATGTCTTTGTCTATCTGTCTGTTACAATTTACCTACTGACTCAAGGCCGCCTTGATCCGGAATACATGCAGTGACCTTAATTGTGAGATTACAATCCAGTGCACACCACAGCTGGGCCATGCTGCATATTCACTAATCTGTGTGGGCGTTGCCCTTCTGTCAGTCTTCCCAGCCCACTAAAATCTCTCCTAAATCACATCCCTTGGTGATTCGCAAATATTAGCAGGCCATCAGCTTCAGTCACGCCATGACAGTTGTTTTTTTTTTCCATCTAAACCAAGGGCCACATGCCATTTCTGGAATAACAATGTTCATAACTAATCCATACCTTCAAGGTTTTATACAGAATGATTTTCATACATTTGTATATGTGTAAATAAAGCCCTGATTCAGTTGAGAAAAAAAAAATCTGTCAGAGTGTTATTAATTGGAGCCCATTTTCCTCCTCTCACTATTTGGCAAATTTTCGGTATAACGTCAACCCAAGAGTGAACATGACAAAAGTTGACAAAAGCCACCACAAGTCAGAAAATGATGGCACTTTGTAGCTTAAGCTCAGTATATGTACAGTAGCTGTCATCTAGCTTTAGCTGTGGGGTTTAAAGTGCAGTATCAGGAAGCTACATGTAGCCATATGGTGAATCAAACACAAATTGCAAATACAGCTTCCATGCTCTAACGGCTTCTTTGACGCTAATAATAAAAATCATAACTTTGCCATCTAATGAACATATTCTAGAAACACCCAAACTTTCCCCTCAATTCTTTATCTCGGCCATGGCTTCTGAAAGAAGGGCTAAGGATGTGGTGGAATCTCAGAACTCATCGTCAGAGCTGAGCAGCAGCGTCTTCTCATTGTCCCCTCTGGTGCTGAGGTTACTGTGGCTGCGAGAGAGAGCTGGCCCTCCGCCTCGCTCCAGGGTGGATTGCTGGGTATACTGCTGATAAGCTGGCGAGAAGTTATGGATGGCGTCTTGCACCATGTCCCCTGGGTTCATCGTCTCCTTCAGACTGCTGGAGATGCTCTTCATTGGTGCACAGCGGCCTGGAGGTGAGCGAAGAGGAAACAGGCATTTCACTGTCGCTGAGCAGCATAAATGAGGGGAGAAATGAAAAGGGTTGAAATGAAGAAAAAAAAATGAAAAGACAGACTTGAGTGTCCATTCGGAATGTGGACGACACATTAAAACAATTTTAATGGAAAAATATGACTGGATCGACACACTAGATTAGCTAATATCAGTTAAATGGATAACAAAATGGTGGTATCCAAAAACGGGGTTACACAGGGGATGACGTAAGATGACAGGAGCATATTACATGTATTTTGGATTTTGGGGTGAGGGAAATATCGGGGGGACTATTCAACAAATGTGCCCCGTGGAACAAAATTAAGACGTATATCAGAGATAAAAAAAAAAGAAATAAACTTGACTCACGTCGATTCGAAATTAAAATGACACTCTTCAAGCATTGTGAAACATGATACAAAAGCCCCCAGAACAAAACACTTTGACAAAGACGAACATATACAGCGGGAACAAAGCTTTTGGGTCACACCTACCGTACTGTCCATAGATCGGAAATGAGCCTTTAAATGCAGCATAGCAAGGAAGAAAAAGGACAAATAGAAATATTGAATTCAGAAAAGTCAAGGACAGACTGAATCGGAAAATAGAGCAAGAAAAGAAAAACTAAAATAGCCTCGCGGTCGAAGGAACCTCCAACATTTCCATGTAAAAATAACTTACCATATGAATCCAGTCTTTTGTCCATATAGACCTTGTAGGTGAAGGCGTGGCGCAGAGCAACAGCAGCGAAGAACATCTCAATGCAAATGATGAAGTTCTGGTACCCGGCAGCAACGGTTCCCTCACCCACAGAAAAGTCAGCAGAGTTTATCTGCGGAATGGCACCACACTTCTCAAGAATGGCCAGCAGCATTCCTGAATTGAAGAGAGAAAGAAAACGCCCACTTTTAGCCATTCGTTGAATGGGACAAAACAATCCAATACGCAAATCCAACATGACAAAACTCATCAAGAGCTGCTGTCTGACACCTCGACACTCCGAGTGAAATAAACCGGGTAACCTAACGCCCGCTCCTGATATCACTCAACTAGGCCACGCCCCTTTCCATGTTTTTGTTTACTATCAAGTGGCAAAAGATACATGACATTTCAATTGGGGGTGGGGGTTGACAAATGAGTGAATTGAATTAGAAACTTGGTCGTGGAACAAATTGACCTCGTAAGTCAAGCTACTACAGTATATTTCACCGTCAACAACTGCGGTCGTGCGATTTGAAAGAAGCCGAGGAGGGGATATGTGCCGGTTGTTCAGCTGCGGTCTTCTTACCTTGCCAGAAGGAAAGGAAAATGACAGATTTGACCATGAAGAACTTCAGCACGGGGCTGTAGGGGACCAGTAACTCTCTTGTGGCAAAGTAGAAGAGGAAGAGCGCGTACAGCGACAGGCTGACTGAGATGTTGTAGATGATGGTCACGTACAAGTAGCCACTTGCCACACTGGATGGAAAGCGCACATGAGAGAAATCGTTTAGCTGCAGAGTATTAAGCTCGTAAAAGTGAAAACAATGGAAACCATCTATTTTACATAACGCCGTCATGAACATCAAGTCAGAACTAATCAATCACAGGGCACAAATAAATTATGTTAAGTGCACATTTCTCAGCATCTCAGCACTGGGGAAAGGAATTACACAGACCACATTTATCCAGGGAAATGGACATCTGTACTTCATAAATTGGCCAGTGGTGTGTTTTTACAATGTATCACTTTTGAGGAAACATTCATGTATTGGTAGAGTTGTGAATTAACTCATCACAATCAAATGTATGCTCATGTTTTATTACAGAAATAATTGCACTGCATTTAAATATTGAGGAGGCATTCGGATGACGGAATAACAATCAAATAGTATGACCGAAAACCACTTTGTCATTAGCCGTGATGGGTGTGACTGACTGTTGGTAAGCTGTTGCGGAAACCTACTTGAAATCGCCATCTTTGTATTTTCCAAAGGCCTGGAGAATGACGGTGATGATGGCCATTAGTGGTTTGACCACACAGAACTGCAGAGTGGCCTGGGGGAAGCGAAGGAGGCAAAGTCAAGTCGATATCATGAGAAAAAGGGAGAATGCATCAAAATCCCTTTAGTTGTCAAACCGTTTGTACACAACGGATGAACGCACACTTAACATGTATTTGATTAGATGGTCATGCATTTGTACCTGTTTGCAGAACCTGAGGAAGCCAATGGAGTAGGTCTTGCCCCACAGACAACAGGTCCCATACATGCAGCTCGACCTGGAGTGAAGTGCAGGGTCGCACAAGTCAAACATTGGCGGAAACGCACGTGCAGACTGCAGTGCTTGTGAGCGGCGGCGAAAAATACTGACTCAATGGGTTTCCCTCTGATTTCAGCCATGATAGCACTCTCGCCTCCCAGATATTCGTAACACAGACTGAGGAAGTTGTAGATGACGAAGGCTGTGAAGAGCACAGACAGAAATGACGACTTTACAAGCAGAGATTCCACACCAGGGTGCCGCGGGACACCAGGATGTCAAAAGACATCATCGGGGGTGCTGCCGAAAATGATTCAATGTCACTTACAGAGCAAGTATGCAGTTTCCACAAATACTCACTCTTTGTCATATTTGTTAAAACGGTCAGTATACACCCAACAATGATGCTACATTTACCTACATTGACTGGGTGCAACAGGCGTGTTTAACTATAAGTGCTAAGAAAGATCTTTGTAGTTACCAGGTGGTCTAGATATAAAGATCATGTTCATGTTCCAGATGTCAGGAATTGTACATTAACCACTTGGCTTGTACCACAGACGGTATCTTAGCAGCAGGAATCACAAATAACTGCAATTTCCTGGGTTGATAAATCAGCGATCGGCGATGGAATCACACACACTGTAAACTGGAACTTCAGAGACATTTTTTTTTCTTGCCTCACTGGATTCGCTGCGCTTCAAGCGGTTGCTAGGAAACAAGCTATCCATTTCCTGTAATCTTCAACAGGCCGCAGACGTGATAATGAAGGGCGAAGTCTTTGCAAACGGCCTTTGCAGAAAAGGCCATTTATCACGGGGATATCAGAATTGATACTTTCTCAGATGAACATCGACTCATCTCTGGGGTTACTATCGGCGAGTGCGGCGTCATACTCTCCGGCCTGAGAGCAAAATAAAGCTGTTTTATCAGCTCAAAGCACACTCCTCTGTCCACTCACCTTCATAGCAGTCTCTAACGGTGTCAAAGTACACGTAGTACTCCTCATTGGTAAAGAAGAGAAGGCTGAGCCAGGAGTCAAAGGCATAGATCGGGACAATGAAGAGAATCCTCACTATATGTCTCTGCTCATTTGGGGAGCTGTAGTAACGTAGGTGCATGTAGATCTGCGGGAACAAAGAGGTAAACATCAACCCCGAAGCAACAAAAGAATACAAATGTTCATTGCCATTCACCATTCCTTCGGCTCAACATGGTGCAGATCAGTAACAAGGCAACGGTAAATATTTTCTTAAGTTGAATAATGAAGTCAGGTTGATGTGAAAGGTGTGTTTTGTGCATGCGCAAGGTGGTTGTCAGTCTGCACGCACGCGTGCGTGCGGAAAGGGAGTTGTTTCTTGGCTTTCATCACTTGTATTCAAATGAGCAGACAGCAGGAAGAACTGGGCGGAACTGAACGTTTATGCCTTTAATCTCCTTTCAAACTGCACAATGTTCCACCTATCACCTTTCCTAGAGTGTAAACAGACACACACCTTTGCTTTAAAAAAAAGGGGGGGGCGGTGGGTAAGCAACTGATGATTGTCCACAGTAACACTATACTGCTCTGATATGGCCAATAGCTTAGAGGAGCCTACAAAGGTCAACAACTAAGCTCCACAGCAACAGTCATCTTTCATATGGAGTAGAGAGAATATTTCCTGAACGTATTGATGTCTGCTCTGTTTGAATGCGTTACTGCCACACGTGTGTCAAAGTAGAAGTTGCTTGAAAGTTGTTATAATTACGGTGACGTCTATGCTCATTTCTGTTAGGCCATCTATGGTGCATCAATTTTATTTGTTTGTACCAAGTTAGTGGACTTTCATTAGATGAAATTGTGTTTGGGAAACGATAAACTATAACTTGCTATACAGACTCTCTATATTGACATATGCACGTGCAGTGAAGAAAGTAATTGAGTAATAACATGGGACTGTCTTTACCTGGTGACATGTGATCAGCAGTGCGGTCCAAACAAAAAAGCCTGATATCGTTTGGGCGGTAGAGGTCATGAGGAAAATGGGCTGCTCCGCAGTGACCACTGGGGCTTCTGGTATGAAGGAAGAGTTTGAGCCCTGAGGGGGCATCGTCGCAGGGGCCTTGAGTGCAAGGCCTGCTGGAGAGTCATTCGCCAGCCTCTCTGACAAAGCCATGTCTCGCCTCCAGAGTCCACTCATCTGTTTTGTAGAAAGGAGACAGAAGGGGTATTTTAGGTAAGAATGATAAAAGCACTCTGCTGGTTAATGATTGGATTCTGATTAAGAATCAAAATTAAGTCCTGACGCCTTCAAAGTGCACAGAGGAACGCGAGGCCGAAGAGCCAGATGGCTGTGATGTATATAAAGGTTAGTGCTCATTTTCGATCAAATGCTCAATGTGGATGCTCCCCATACGTGGATGCCTGGGGCCGCCCCAAGCTCTGCACGCCCATTTTAGGGATACAAAACATCTTTACCTAAATGGTGCTTTACCACGTTTGCATTAACATTTACCAATTCATACCTGATGATTTGTTTATAATGAATAAAACAGACAGTCAGTATGATTTTAGTTATTTAAGATGAAACTAAATATGAGTACGAAAACGTCAGGCTCATTGATTAGAATGTAAATTGTTAATTGGGTTCAGTAGTGTCCTGCTGTGGATTGACCCACAAAAGGCAGAAGTCATTACATATTGCTAGGCAGGGATGCTCTACTAATCGGTAGTCTTTGTGACAGGTCAACATGTGTCCGCAGGCGAGGAGGCTGCCTCGCTCACTCTTGTCATCTGCTGACTCAAATTGTGTTCAAAGGCATTGACGACAAACATTGGTCCTCACAATTGACCGCGGCTCCAGTAAAAACAACCCATCCATTATCTGAACCACTTATCTTCAACAGGGTCATTATGAGTTATATAATAAATAATGTGTAACTTCTAAAATATGTTTACATATATACATATTTAGCATGACACACGTATGGTACTTACCTCCTCCGCGGTTGTCTGGTCAGCGGTACCGTTTTGTATCAATTTAGCTCATCACGGGTCAGTTACACACTTTTTCAGGACAACCGTCCCAACGGTGTCATTCCGACGAAAGAAACTTCGCACTGCTGCTCCAACACAAAAATATTTGCCCGTTTACAACAGCTAGCAAATGTGTGTATAGCTGGGGGCTTGAGGCGGTAGATGCTAGTCCGCGTTAGCTTGCCGTTCAAGTCCTTATTTTGCTTGTTTTTTCGGTGTACATTCCGGTGAAAAAAACCCCAAGGTTTTGAAGTAAGCCTTAAAATGAGAGTAACGACGACGATCTTGTAACTTCCTTTTGAAGACCAATACGCCTGTGCCGTTAGTCGTTCACATCACCACCCGTGGATGCCAAAGCAAACGTCACATTTTAGCACATGCGCAGTGTGACTTTTGCCACGTAATAATCGCTGTTTATCAAAACATTCTAAAAAGCATATTAAATATATTCCAAGGATAAAATCAGTTTACATAGTACTCTATTTTTTTGTATCACGAGTCACAAACACACACAAGCAAAAGTTACGTCGCATATAAACCCGAGGGCAGACTTCCGACAATACACATATCCATTGAACATGAACATTCGCCAATGGTGCAGAATACAGGCGATGGAATAAAGCCTACAAGATTGTGAGATTCGGTTTTATTACTTCATAAAATATACACAAATACTGTTGTAAATAAAGTGTTAAAGAACTGTACAAGAGATCAGTACACAATACATAAAGTGAAATTCTGTCACCTTAACCTATTTCACACCCGCCCTCCCCAAACACACGCACGTATATAGAGTAGTTACAGTGCCACTGGGTCATGGTGCCCTGTACAAAGGTATTACACACAGTACCAAGCTATTTACACATCCCTGCAATGGAGTCAGTTAGTTTCATTGTAATGACATCATCAAAAAAAAAAAATTGCAGGATCTTAAAACCTAAAAAGGTGACATCAGGCATTGGACTTATTTCTGCGGCGGGACTATACAAAGCCCTGTGTTCAACAAGGTGATCAGACAGCATTTGAAGGGGAAGAAAAGAGAAACCAGGACAAAACATGGCACAAGTTACTTCTGGTGACAAACTGAAAGACATTTTGAAAAAAAATGAACATAAATAGTGGAAAGAAAAACAACCCAAAAGACATAAAATGAACCTTGAGCTCTTATTGGGGATTATACTGTCAGTTGCACTCTCACACACCAAAACGTTGAAACACGCACACAACACATTTATGACCCAGCTGGCAGAGCAACATTGATGTCCAAAATGTAGTACTGTACTTTAAATACCAAAACTTTTTAACTCATCCCATTATTATGCAATGTTCTACTTTACACCTTAAAACAGAAAACACATTTTGGCTTTTACATCAAAATTTAAAAAATAAAAATATTTACAGTGGTGTAAACATAAAAAAATGGATGCCCCACCCTCCTAAATTATCCTTAATGGGGTCTGCCAAATCCCCTATTTCTCCTAAAGGTAAAAATAACATTAAAAAAACATTTAACAGTAAGAATTATCATAAAAATTGCAGCTAATCTTGGTTGGTTACAACAAGGGTGCAATGGTGTCTGGTCAAATACACTGGTCATTTCTTGAGGATTCTGCCTCAAGACCTTGGGAGTGTTTGTGGTTTTTTTTTCCTTTTTTTTTTGAAACAACTATAGTGATAACTTTTAATTAAGAGAACTGAGCACACAAGTGATGAAGAAATCGGTACTGGATATTTTTGATGGTTTGAGATTCGAGGGACAATAATTTATCACAAAATAGATCGAGGAGGAGCAAGCAACTCACAGGAAACAGAAACATGACTTTTTGAACCTCTTCTGTCTTTCAAAACACAACTATCGCCAACTTACCTTTTCCATCATTCCCCAAAAGGTGAAATCTCCACTAAGACTTAAAAAAAAAAAAAAAAAAGTGGGGGATGGGGCGGGGGTAGTCGACTTTTGAAATTAAACATGCTTTTGCCCTTCATCCTTTTGCTTCATTGTTGTCAAAAGTTCCTCTCAGTCATCAGATAGAAAACACTGCTGGGTTTATGTTTCGAGGAGGAGGCGGTCAGTCACGAGCAACCATGATGGAGCACTGTCACTTTTTGCATCGGCATGATGATGATCCAAGGTTTCGCAGAGGTTTCATAAAAGACCGGATGCTGGCTACTAGAAAAAGTACTTCCCTGGATCCTGTTGGAATTTGCTGTACTTTTCCAAAGACCCACGTGTCCATTGGCATCAATCTTTTGGAGTCGTAGTAAAAATGAAGGAAGGGGACAAAGCAACAAATATACCTTGCAGCCCTGCACCAAGAACAATTATTAGTCGCGTGTATTAATTAAGTAGTGTGCTTTTGCACGTCAATTAACAAGGAGATCTCACCTGTCACTTTCAAGTTCATGCAGAGCCAAGGAGATTTTATTTGCCCATGTGCTCAAATGGCACGCTCACCTGCACAGAGAGCACATGTGTGACTTTAAGAGCAATACAGTCCCTTCTGATTCAGGGAGGATCTGACAACAATGAACCTGTTTATCACCAGGGATATGTTCCTGGTTGTAGCTCGCTTTACCAACGCGCAAGTGGATGACAGAAGTATACTGCAAAAATTCATACAAAGTATAACTGACTGATATGCCAGGGGGATACTGCATGCGATTTGTACGCTTTACCTCACCCGTACCGTAAATTTAGAGCATCGGAAACGGCCAGTGTGTTTTGAGTTTCTTCTCACCTGTGATGTGGAAATCCTGGATTGGTCGTGACGGGCCGTAAGGTCGGAGGACGACACGTTAGCTGGAGCCCCACGGTGGAGCCGCATGCTCACCTTCCTTTCCCTCTCTGCACGTGAAATGGCGCGAGGCGATGTGTTTCCTGAAACAAGGCATACAACTGATGTCGGACGACTGCGAGTTTTGTTAAAACAAACGCAAGCCGTGTAATTGGGAACATCAGTTGGAGACTTTGGTGATTCAGGGTCCCACTCACCAGACTGTTGGACCCGTGAAGCAGGGTTAGAGATGGCCTGTTCTGGTCCGTTTCTGACTCTGTTGGCAGGTCCAGGGTTGGGACCTGGCGGGAGACCTCGTGCCGCGGAACCCCTGGGAGCAACACCGATCCGATCGTCCCTCTCATCACCAGTCCTCCTTTCCCGGTCTCCCTCTTCGGTCGTCCGCGTGGCTCCCTGTAAGCCAAGACGCGACATATTTTGAAGGTTTTTCTTCAAGTTAAAATCAACAATGGAGGATAGCGTTGTTAAAACTCATTAAAAGGGTTCTGTGCCGGAACAGTAAAAAAAATAATAAATCACGACTGAAATAAGACACTTGCTGAACTTACAAACTTGAGCATATTCCAGTCGAAAACATAATCATAGGAAAAGCCCTGCCGGTGGAAGAGATTTCTGAAGAGCTGTCGCAAGTAGGAGTAATCTGGCTTGTCATCAAATCGGAGTGATCGGCAAAAATTTAGGTATGTGGAGAACTCCGCTGCAAGAGAAACAAACAAAAATGTTCATGCAATGCACAGAAGTTTTGGAGAAAAAAAATTGTTCAATGCAAACAGAAAAAAAGGTGAAAATCCAGCTTCACATACAAGGGTACCCTTTGCAAAGAACCTCAATCGGCGTAGACATTTTCTTCTCACTGATTCGTTCATACTTCTGTCTCTTGGTCGCCGCCTTGAGGCCTTGCCAGGGTAAGGACCCCAGGTTGAAATACATGAGGACGTAGCCGAGGGACTCCAAGTCATCACGTCTGGATTGTTCTGGAAAAAAAAGTTTCATCGAGTAAAACCCGCACAAAGACTAGATTTCCCCAAAACAACAGTGTGAAAATGCCAAGTATGGTTAGAATGGACACTTTGACAACCCGAGAGCAGCACACCAAGAATTTTCAAAACGAGACGACGGGTTCCAGAGAAATGGCGTATTCTGCTTTGCGGGGGAATGATGTGTGTGATATCGCATATAGAAAATCTGGTCAAAATGTGTCTTTAAATTACAGTACAAGATTATAATTTGATTATTTTGCAACCTCCTCAACCCTGTCGTTTTGTCTGCTTCTCGGAGAAGCACTTCTGCGATTGCCTGACAAGTTTCAGTTAAAAATATCCACCAATGAGCTTGTATGGGCTGAAAATTACAGTCATGCTTTAAAGAGGCGTCACCTGACCTAAAACCACATCCTAAATAGCACAAAAGGAATATTATTGGTGAGATGAAGAGTATGAGAATGAAGAGCAGGATGTTGGAGGCGTGTCAATTCTTTCCATTAACACTTGAAAGAGTTCTTACTGGGAGCTCAAAAAGTGACATGGCTGAGTCAAATGGCAAACAGTCAGCATCGGGAGTGTCCCATAAATCAAGACTGAATACGAGCAACTTAGAGTACAGGTGAGTGTGTATGCTGCGTGTGCTGCTTACCAATTCCAAGATGCGTGTTGATTGAAGCATAGCGCGCCGTGCCTGTCAGGTTCTTGTTCTCCCTGTAGGGGATGTGCTGGTGCGTGCGGGCGTCACGGTACTTTTTGGCAAGGCCGAAGTCAATGATGTACACAAGATTGCCCTTCTTGCCAAGCCCCATTAAGAAGTTGTCTGGTTTTACATCACGGTGAATGAAATTCTTGGAGTGGATGTACTCAATACGGCTTATCTAAAGATGGATGAGAGAAGGAAAGGAATCAAAATTGTTTCTTTTTGTATGCAGACAGGACAAAAAGGACAATGATTTGCACAGATAATCACGAGGCCCAGACAGACATTCAAATATGCAGTGGAACTGGTAGTTGAACTATCCTGGGGACATACTACAGAAAAACAGGCCTACAAAAAGTTGTGATGCATCGTCAGCAAATCGAGCAATAACCCCATTAAGCAGGCATGAAAAGATTATCCTTGAATTTGTTTGCATTTTCTTCAGTTTTGTGACTTAACTGTCGTCCTCATAAATTGACCAGCCTCAAAAAACAGCGAAGATATGTGAAAATAAGAATGCACACCCCAAATCAAACTTAAAGCAGTAAGAGTCCAACTTCGCCGTACACGTCAATGTTGAAGGCAGAGGGTTTCATTTCTCTAGATGAACCCTGGACATGATTTTACTATTCCTGTTAATTCCGATGGGAAAAATTATGTCGGAAAGCAAGACAAATTGGAGGTTGGCCAGTGTTGTAGAACAAATTGTGTTGTATATTAGAGATTCCGCTGTATTGGAAAATGGAAAAACTCAACAAGAGGGTCAACAGGATGTTACGGAGGGAAAAAATCGGAACTGTCGAATGCAAAAATAACACATGAGTAAAGGAATATTGGAAAATGTGAATGTTTGAAACGTGCAAAACAGGCACTTCTACAAACACACATGACCTCATGACATCAAAA